GCTAGGCAAGTGGCTTACCACTTAGTCACATCCCCAGCCATCCCCTCACCTAGCTTTTAAAAAAAATTTGAGACAAGTTCTTACTAAATTGCTGGCCTTGAAGTTGTAATTCTCCTGTCTCAACCTCCTAAATCACTGGGATTATAGGCAGGGCATCATTACTCCTGGCTTAAATTTTTGTTTTAATTTTTTTGTTACTGGAGATTAAACCCACAGCCTCACATGTGCTAATCACATGCTCTACCTCCGAGTCACACTCTTACCAGGAGTTTTACATTTTTCATTTCTTTTTTTTTTTTCAGCTGACCCAAAGAAAATTCAGGTTTTATTTTTCAAAAAGTCACTCTCATTTCAGTTTTCTCCAGGAACAGGGTAGAGTAGCTTCAGGATGAGCATAAAGATTCCCACTGTCGGAATATCCGGAATACTTTTCTTGATTTTTCAGAGAGACTCATGGAGTCTGTTTCAGCTGGCTGATTAGACTGTTTGTGGGCCAACAGGATGGTCAGCACTGCCTTCCAGCCTGGCTCTGCTGGGGTGCTGGCATCAAGCTCTGTTCCATCATTCTCCCTAGATTCTTTGCCAAGTGTGATATTCACCCAAGGGCACCAGTCTCTGTGCTGAGAGGTGGGATCAAAGAAGCTCCGGGAAGATGTGTCTGAGCTGCTGGAAGAGCAGAGGCGAGCTCGTTTGGCTTTCCGGAGGGGACTGGAGGGTACTTCCAGGCCAGCAGAGTCTCCTGTTCCCATGCTTCGAGTCACTGGCTGGGTTCTGGTGGTGGGGCTGGCTGCCTCCGGCTCAGGCCGATCAACAGGACTAGAAGAATCCCAGCTCCGGGTTTGGGAGACAATGGGACTAGGGCTCTTTTCAACCTGCTCTGAGCCTGGGGAAAATGTGGCATCCTGGCTCCTGGTCATCATCCTCCGAGGCGATTCAGGCACCAGAGGGAAGCGCTCTGGACGACCTTCAGGGCCTGGGACTGGAGAGTTGGTTGGGCCAAAGGATGTATCCAGGTCAGTCATGGATGATTCGATCTGCTGGAAGCCCCAGAGCCCCACCTTCCTCATACACTGTGAACATGTTATCAGGGAGAGCTGCATGGGTTCCAAAGCAGAACTACATGCCCAGCCACACAGAGAGAGAACACAAGCAGTGATGTGGACTTGGATGTCGGAGCCTAACTTGCTTGGAGTTTTTCTCTCTTCGGTTCGGTGATCAAGTTCATCTTCAAGCAGGTATAACAGAAGACTGATCTTGTCTTCTGTCAAGCACATAGTTTTCAAGTCCTCTGGCCTCAGGGAAGGAAGCTGGAGGTCCAAGTGACAAAGGTTTTGAAAATGATCTAGGAATTCACTAATAAGAACAGCAGGCTCATCTAATGGTAACATCCCAAATCGATCTAGCATGAGTGAGACCCTAGGCTTGAACTCCGGCACTGGAGAGGGGCTGTCTGGCCAAAAACAGAACTTCTCATGGGCGCTACACAAGGATTTCTTCAGCTCAGCACATCGTTCCTTATATCTGTCAAAATCAAAAGCTGGCTGTAAACTGGCACAGAGAAAAGCTTGACAGCTGGAACACTTGAGCATATCACACTCAACTGTGACCCAACCATATTTTGCACAGACGAGTGGAGACAGCTCAGGGAGCTTCCCTGCCCATTTCAAAGAAGAAAATGTTTCTACTCTGCTAAAGAAGGCTTCTTTGCTTGTAGATTCCAATGGAAGTTGTTCTGCTTGGGGTGATCCATTAATTGACTGCAATGTGGCAGATGTATCCCTCGCTTCTGCGCTTCTCTCTTCTGGGGCAGTCCCCTCATCTATCAGCTGCCGGACTTTCTGAGGGGTCCCCTCTGGGGAACGGACTACTGTACCCCAGTTTTTTTCAACCCCTGAACCAAACGCCTGCTCCTCACTGGACGCCGCCATGTTGGTCCGTTGCAAAGTTGCTTCCCCCCATTTTTCATTTCTTTTTAGAAATTTATTGAGCTAGTGTGGTGATGCATACTTGTAATCCCAGTGACTCGAGAGGCTGAGGCAGGAAGATTGCAAGTTTGAGGCCAGTCTGGACCACTTAGTGAGATCCTGCCTCAAAATAAATAAATAAATAAAGGTTGGGGATGTAGTTCAGAGATGGAGCACTCCTGGGTTCAATACTGAAAACACACACACACACACAAAAAAAAAACCAAAAAAAAAACAGAAAAGAAAGTTTTTTGGATGAACCATATGTAACATTTGTGTATATTTTAGTACCAGTTGCAGTCAGTTTATTTCATTAAACTAATGATTTTTTTTTCAATGCTGGGGATCAAACCAGAGCCATGTCCTCTATCCTTGCGTGGGCTCGTTTTCATCCAGCGAGGAGGTCCACAGACCAGGGTAGTGCAGAGTGCAGCTGCGGAGTCATGAATCAAGACCTCCAGAGACCAAGCAGGAAGCAGGTCTGATTTTATTTTGCAGTTACCATGTGTATACACTGGGGCAGTAGCTAGGCAGGTTACAGGCAGCCACCAATAGAATTTCTGGCCAATTGTCCTTGGGGCAAGCAATGGAGGAGCCCACCATGGAGCAAGCCAGGGACCGCAACACGTGGCCTCAAGCTTAGGGCGCTGTGCCTACGGGGTAAGCGGCCTGCGCTCCTGTGCCTAGCACAAGGGGAGTGGCCTGCCACTCAGGTGCTCCTAACATGTGCTACATATGCAGTACTCCATGCACTTGTCCCCACATATCCTCACCTCCTTTGACTCCCATCTAGGTCCAAGAGAGAGCTATATGCAAGAAACACTGAAAAACACAGTTTCCCTGAGGTCACCCAGATGCACAGCAAGTCCTGCTTTGGTGCCATGGACAGAGTGGCCGGTTTGCTCCCCCAGCACTGACCAAGGTGGGTGGCTCCTGTGCCTGGGACGACAATGAGATGTGCTGGTGCTGAAGAGGAAGCAGTGTCTGAAGAGTAGCAACGTTCCCCACTCCAGGCTCAGCATCAGAGGCAGCAGGACACCAGGTCACACCGTCAGTGGTCAGCTGGGGCCTCAGACTGAGCAGCACTGGGAGGACTCAGGGGCTGGGGTTTGGTAGAACGGAGATTTCTTGTTTGTTAGCCCACATCCCCTGGGAATTATGGGTTTCAAAGAGGACCAGGAGTCTCCTTAGAATGGGAGGGGATGAAAGCCGGAGAACTTTCAGTGCCATTACAAAGCCCACATAACCTCTGGGCTGTTGTACCCCAGAGAAATATCAGTTATGCTGAAGAATTAATGATACACGGGGCGTGGTGGTGCACATCTGTAATCCCAGGAACTCAGGAGCCTGAGGTAGGACAGATTGCAAGTTCAAGGCCAGCATCAGCAATGTAGCAAGACCCTGTGTCAAAATAAAAAATGAAAGGGGACTGGGGATGTGGCTCAGTGGTTAAGCACCCCTGGGATCAATCCTTGGTACAAAACAAAACAAAACAAAACAAACAAACAAACAAACAAACAACAACAACAAAAAACCAATGCTATGAAAGTGTTAGTTGTATTGTGGTTGTTTGTGAGAATAATTATATTGTTAGAAGACATTTAGGGCTAAATGTTCATGTTAAAAGACATATTTATTTAGAGCTATAGGTCTATGTTGCACGTAATTTACTGTGAGATGGTTCAGACAAAAAACAGTGAGTGTGTGTGTGCATGCATGTGTATGTGTATGGAAAGAGAGAATAAATAAACGATAAGCAAATGGGTAAAATATTCAGGATAGGTGAATGTAGGTAAAGGATATATATGTGTTTTGTATTATTTTAATTTTTGCAACACTTTTAAATTTTAAATAATTTCTAAATAAAAAAAATTAGTTAAACAATGGAATTGTTGTGAGATCTGTGTGATAAATTAGTGTTTGGACAATGCAGAGTGGGAGGACAAGGAGGAAGCCATCAGCTTTGTCTGGTGGGAGTCTTAGGGGAGAGGTCTCAGAGAAGCTCAAGGAGAGCCTTGAAGGATAATATGTGTGTGGGGAGCTGTGGCATCAGATTGAGGTGGGAGGGCGTGAGGCAGGGAAGGACTGTGAGGTCTGATGTACCCCAAGAGTCTGGTGACACACCCTCTTGTGTGCCTGACAAAGCAGGACTCCCCTGCCAGATGGTAAGTGTCACCTGTGTGACTAAGAGCACAGCTCCCTGCTCCTCCGGCTGTCACCCATCCCATCTCATTTCCAGAGAATAAAGCTTTGGTACCTTCAAAGGGAAGAGTGTCAGGGGGAGGGGCAAGCAGCTGGGCTGGGCGGGGCTTGTGTGGTTTGGTTCTTCCCATAAAGGGCTCAGCACCTCACCCACATCAGGACCCTCTGCAGAGGGAGCTG